ATCTAGTCCAGCATTCTGTTCTCACAGTGGCCAACAAGATACCTGTGGGAACCCCAAAACCAGGACCTGAGCACAAAAGTGGTACTCAGAAGCCCTGTTGGCTTCTGCCAGCCATGACAAAAGATGGGGGTGAAAGGTTTCTTTCTTTTCTGCTGTAGTAGCTCCAGACAGAGGCTCCTTAGGGATCTGTGGGGCTTTGGATCCAGTGAATTCAAAGCCTCTGGTGCCCTGCCCCAAAACAATCCATTTCACTGGCTACTGTGAAATATGGCAGTCTTATCACATCACCCACCAGTGGCATTCTTCTCCATCAGCAAAGAGACAATTACACATCATTCTAACTCCCAACACCAGTCACCAGCATCCAGGAGACTAGGACCTAGCCTAATGAGATTTTAATTTCTCCAGTTTGAAAAAAGGGAGGAGTTGAAAACTGAAGATGATCACCATTGTGATAAGCAAAGGACATTTATACCATGAGTTTAGAAACCACCATGTAGAGGAGACGTGACCATTATCATACAAAACAACAAAATATCATTTTTAGATTGTAAGCGTGTTTAGTAAATGAACATTACTACTTCATAATGAAGACATGGCAACAAATTTGGATAATTTAACATCGTAAAATATAGCAAGAATGGGCAACTAGATTTGTGGGTTATGTTTTAATTTTTTTTGGAAACCAAAGGTGAACCAACCAAAGCCAGGCACATATGCAAGATGATGGCTTGGGAAAGGAGTAAATTACCTATTGGTATAATCTAACTAGAGGGACGCAGGTGGCGCTGTGGGTAAAACCTCAGCGCCTAGGACTTGCCGATCGCATGGTCGGCGGTTCGAATCCCCGTGGCGGGGTGAGCTCCCGTCGTTCGGTCCCAGCTCCTGCCCACCTAGCAGTTCGAAAGCACCCTTAAGTGCAAGTAGACAAATAGGTACCGCTTTATAGCGGGAAGGTAAACGGCGTTCCATGTGCTGCACTGGCTCGCCAGATGCAGCTTGTCACGCTGGCCACGTGACCCGGAAGTGTCTGCGGACAGCGCTGGCTCTCGGCCTCTTAAGTGAGATGAGCGCACAACCCTAGAGTCTGTCAAGACTGGCCCGTACGGGCAGGGGTACCTTTACCTTTATAATCTAACTATATATCTAGTTCAGTGTTTCCCAACCTTTTTTGGGCAAAAGCACACTTGTTTGATGAAAAAAATCTCGAGGCACACCACCATTACAGCCCCGTGACGTCAGCGCGCAGCGTCACGCCGGGAGGGACGCACGAAAGTGTAACTTTCAATTTTTTTCCCTCCCCCTTGCCGGGGAACCTCCAAGCTTTGTGGGGGGGGAGGAGGCAGCAAAGCGAGGGACTGAGGGACTCCTCCAACGACAAGGGTTGGGGAAGAAGAGAAAGGGCTATTCCGCTCCAGTCACGGGAGGGGAATATGTACTGGCCCAACTGGTGTGCGGTCTTCGGAAAGCGGGGTGCGGGAAGGAAGCCTAGGCTCGGGGTCCACCGACCTCGGCGGAGAAAGGCAACAACCGGAGCCGATGACGAGCCGGCGCGTGCGTGCAGCGGCTGGCCTCGAGCTCGGGAAGCTGCGCGCGGCGATGTTGACGCGGGGCGCGCGAGAGCTTGGGGGCGGGGCGGGAGAGAGAGAGAGAAAGAGTTGGCAGCACCAGGCGCTGTTACTTATTGCGCTGCGGACGCTGCCAGCAACTGCGGTGGTTGTGCGGCGGCCGCCGCCGCAGAACGTCCTCGTCAGTCAGCTGAGCTGCCTGGCGGCGTAGGGAGCCGAGGGGCGGGGCTTCCTTTCTGAAGGAGCTGAGGGTGGGGGTCCTCCGGCGCCTTCGGCGAAACGGCGCCGGCCCAGAGCGCTTCTAGGAGGCTGCCTTTGTGCGCGACGTAAAGCCCTCTTTCCCTCCCTCCAGCCCTGTGTCACATGTGGAAAAGGGGGCTGGATCCAGTGACGCAACTCGGAAAACTGTTAGGGAAGCCAGAGCAGGAAAGTGAGTGGGAGGCGGTGGCGCCGCTTTAACCCACGTTTCCTTTTTGAAAGAGAAACCAGTGTTTCCCAACCTTTTTTGGACTCGCTCGCGGCACACCAGGCAACATCTCACGGCACACTAGTGTGCCGCTGAACACCGGTTGGGAAACACTGATCTAGTTATCACACATCAGGGTCTCTTAACAGCTAAATTCAGGGGAACTGTCTTTGTTCCAACAAACGGAAGTCAGAAAACTGTTCCAATCTACCAAATTTCCAATCTACCTCTTGCCCACCCCTGCTAATACTGCAATTTATGCACACTCAATTGACAGCAGGTCCTACTGAATTCAGTGGGACTTGATTCTGAGTAAACATGTATAAGAGCATGTTGCAAGCATCACAGTAATTTGTCCATGAGCCAGGACAAAATTATTGCCAAATATGACAGTAGTGAATGTTATTTCTGGCATTATCAATGAACAGAAATGAGTAGAGCTGCAGCAATCATACTGTTTTGCATGTAATCACAATTTATATAAATATTACCTTTACCTAAGCTCTGCCATACAGCAGAATGAAAGAACCTACTTAAGGCAACACCAGCACTAACAAAAGACCCAGAGAGTATTCTGTATGGTGACCAACACTTCTAGTACAGTATCTCCTACAAGAAAGGATTTCATCACATCCAATCAAAAGCTTCCTTTATCCTTAAGAGTTGACATTAAAAAAAGGTAAAGGACCCCTGATAGTTAAGTCAAATCATGAACGACTCTGGGGTTGCGGCGCTCATCTTGCTTTACTGGCCGAGGGAGCCGACGTTTGTCCACAGACAGTTTTTCCGGGTCATGTGGCCAGCATGACTAAGCCGCTTCTGGCAAAACCAGAGCAGCGCACAGAAATGCTGTTTACCTTCCCGCCAGAACGCTACCTATTTATCTACTTGCGCTTTGACGTGCTTTCGAACCACTATGTTGACAGGAGCTGGTACCGAACAACGGGAGCTCACCCAAACCGCCGACCTTCCGATCGGCAAGCCCAAGGCTCAGTGGTTTAGACCACAGTGCCACCCACATCCCTACAAGGGACATTATCTGCTAGTAAAAAGAACAAAAAAACAAAACCGTGGACCAGAAATGCAGCAGGCACTAGAAGAGGAATGGAGCACTTATCTGCCTCTTCTATTAGCCCAATTGATTTATATGCTATATGTGCAAAAGTGGGCTTTGTGTGTTGTGCCTTTAGCATAGAAATGTGGTGGGCTGGTAGCAAAGCCAATGATCGCCTTGTCCTTTTGCCACCAGCACCCCCTTTCTATACTTTCTATACCTGCAGGGAGGAGCTTTGCTTTCTGCAGATCCTGCAGGAAAATGCAGAAGTCTGGCAGAGGAGGACTGATCACAGCATCCTCCTCTGCCAGCTTGTTTGGTTTCTGGGCTGGTCAGGCGTGGAAGGGATTTCACTCCCTACAGCCAGCACAGAACCTGTGGAAGTAAAGAGCAACTTATCTGTCCTTATTCCACCAGGACATAATGTTTTCATACTTGCTAAATATGATGGGGGTTCAATACCAAGTAATGATGGAAGCTGAGCTAGCAGAGAAAAGGCAGATTGACCTGTCCCTCAGGCCCTGTCATTCTGTTTACTCACTTGAATGCAATTTTACATATCATTTTAGAATATAATCCTGGGTACAGGGACTATATTGATCCTGATCTTTGTAAGCCATTCTAGAAGGCTTTTCAGCTAAAGAATGGAGCAAAAAATTCCTTAAATAATGAATTCTATGTGATCTTCATCACATGTGGCGACCAGGTAAGTAAATACAAATTCCTGTTAATTTTCATGAACACAATTCACAGTGTTCTCTCATAACCAAAACACTATCTGATAGAAGTCAAAATAAATAACTAAATCACAATTTATTCTACCAAAATAATACAGTGTGACAGTTGTGTTTATGAAGAGATGGGTGAGGAATAAAGTAAACAGCCTTCCTTTTGCGCAATGAAATTTTACATGGCTTCTTGGTGAACTGTTTGCAGATGTCACTTCCTGCTCAATATCAACTCTCTCCCTGAACACAAAGGTTTGCTTGCTTGCTTCAGGTAGCCAAACCAGATCCTTCATTTCCTGGGAAGCAGACTTTTGTCCAATCCTCTGAAACCATGACACTGAAAGTTACATACATGATAAATATATAGACGGTAGGGGTACTTGTACTCCTCGAGAATTTTTAGAATTACACTTTGTTCTGTGTTTTTAACGCTTCTTTCCTCCCTGGAGTACAGTGACCACTGCCAGGGATAATGTTCAAAAGATCATGGGGAGGTCAATGTCAGAACCCAATAAGCTTCAGAGACTGAACACAGAAGCTACATTTGGGGAACAGAAGCACAGAATAAAAGCATGTGTGATCTTTTAACAGGTGGGACAGCGCTCTCCCCTAGAAGTATGGACGTGTGCAATGTGATGCGATCTTATGGGCGTTTACTTTAGAGTGCGACCCCCACAGGCTTACTCGGGAGTAAGTCCCACTGAACTTAATGGGAGCGCTTCTGAGTAGACATGCCTAAGGCTGAGCTGTCAGAGGTAATTCCCACGGAGGGTCAATGAGGATCACACCTGGCAAGGGCTTCCAGCCGCCCCCGCGCACCATTCCCTAGCCAAGAATACTATACCGTGTACACCCCCCCCAGACCCCTGGAATGAGTTGAGACCGCGTGTAACCACCGGCCCCCAGAATATTTCCCGGCCTCTTCCGAAGCCGCGGGGGCGGGGATGGCAGAAAGCGAGCCCGGCAGAAGCCTGAGGCCTACCGAGGCTTCGGCGAAGTGGAGGGGAAATGGTGGAAGAGGCCGCTGGGGCGCCTGGCACCGAGACACCGGCCGCAATGCCGGGCCCGCCGGGCGGCCAGCCAGCCAGGTAGAGGCGCCGCCCGCCCGACGGAAAAGAGAGGAGCAGGCCGCAGCCTCCGCCCTATTGTTCCCCGCCACCCGCCCACCGGGAGACTCCGCTTACCTCACGGCGGTGGCGGTGGCGGCGGCGGCAGCTCCTCTCAGCTGCGGGCCACGGACGGGGCCGTCGCGCCCTCCTCCTCCTTGTCCCCCAGCAGCAGGAGCCGGCCGGCCGCGGCCTTCCCTTCCGCCCTCCGGCCCTCTGCTGCTGCCACGGCCGCCTCTGCAGCAGGGGCCATCTTGGGCGCCTCTCCGCCTCTCGCCTCAGCAGCAAAGCCCTGCCTCGCCTCCAGGGCCGCCGCTAATGCCTCGCTCGCTCGCCCGGCAGCCGCCCGCCCCTTCCTGCTCGGCGGCAGAAGAGGGGCGGAGCGGGCCCGCCAGGCGCCGCGGCCTCGCCCTCCATTTATAGGTTGAGGGGGGTGGAGATATAGGGGGGGTGTGGATATATATGCACATACACACATATATATAATCTGTGAGGGGGGAAGCAGAGGAAACCTTGGTATACCAGCTGTGGTAGAAGTATTGTTCCGAAATCCAAAGAGCCACAACAGTACGAAGAGTGGAAGAGCTGCTATGAAATGCTCTTTATTTTAGAAAATCCCCTTCTACGTAGAGATTAACTTTCAGTGCTTTACTTTCAGGCTTTGTGAAACCCGGTCAACATGCATGAGCTTGGACTGCAATTCACGCCAGAGTGTGTAGCTACGCTTTTTTATTGTACTCGTGTCTACTGCTGGTAAGTCACCCCGAGTGCAGGATCCAGTAGAAAGGCAGCTTAAAAATAACAGTACAGTAGTTGCTGTAGGAAAAGGCTCATGGCTCCCGTGGCAAAGATTGATTACATGTGCTGATTCAGGTGCAGAGCCATACTGAACTTACTATCATGAACAACAAAGAGTCTTGTAGCACTTTAATAACTAGGATGAACATGGCCAGCTAGCCCATGTGTCGCTCTATACCAGGCATAGCCAAAAGGATAAAGCAACTGCTCTTTATTTCAGATCCCATGGCTCCTAGCATCCCCAGTCTAGAACCATGGCGCAAGGATCCATGCATTTCTTCTGTCTGAAAGATGGCTTCCCAGCCTGAAATGATAATAAAATGTCAACTAACAGCAACTCTAATTCGTTGCATTTCCTTCTTGAGTACCTTGTGTAAAAGAGACATACATGCTTTGTTTGACAGCTAGCTGCAGTTTCCAAAAGGGGAATAATAGAAACTTGAAAATCACTTCCCTGCTCTGTTTGCTTGCTTTGGAAGTACAGTATACATGAAGCATTAAAAGACAAGTCACAGAAGGTAAAAGCATCTTAAAGCTATGAGACATCAACAGGCCTAGGAGAATAAAAAGGGCAGCACTCTGGAGTCAGCATTCCACAGCTGGGTAGCCACCACTGAAAATGCCCTTCTACCTACCTGGCAGGGCCATTTGAGATGAGCTTTTGAAGGAGATCCCAGCAATTAGACAGGTACATGTGGAGAGAGGTAGTCCATGAAGCACCCTGGTCACAACTGCAAAGGGCCTTTTCCATTTGAAGGTGTTTGATATTCCCTCATTGGCTGTGAGCCAGGGGAGCTGCTTGATCACCAAGAGTGGTGTGATTCATACAATCCAGTCTCAGCAGTCTGTTGGCTACTTTCTGAACCAACACAAATTTCCAGAACATTTTAAAAAGCAACAGTGCACATAATACTTTGCAATTGTCCACAGAGGAGGTTACATTTTAAAAAGCAACAGTGCACATAATACTTTGCAATTGTCCACAGAGGAGGTTACCAAGGCATGAATTGCTGAAGCAAGGCTACTTTGACCAGGTAGTGCCATAGCTGGCAAAACTTCCTAAGTTGGGGAAAGGTACTCTGGGTTACAGAGGCGATATCTGCCCATTACAAAAATGGATGAATGAGCACACTCACCCTCACGTGATGAACTTGGTTCTTTTAGGGGAAATTACAGCCCTTTAGAACGGGATTAATACCTTTTACCTGGGTAGGCAAACTTCCCACTAGCAGTGCCTCTGTTCTGTCTGGGTTGAGGGCATGATCAGCCATTGCTGCGGGACCAAATTAATGCCTGAGAAAGCCAAGAGAACATACATGGGGACAGAGGGAGGAAAGAGAAAACTAAGAAGGCTATGAAGAAGGGCAGAAGAGGAAAGCAAAGCAAGAAAGGGAACTCTGAAAAAAATACATTGAGGAGTGTAGAGGCAGGGGTTGGAAGGTAGCTTTATTGTGCCAATGCTACAATGCTTTTTCCTAATTGCTTTGCAACTATCACCTAGTAAAGGATAGTGCTATGAGTTTGGGGTGTGTGCATCTTAAACTGGGTGCTAGACCCCTCTCATCCCTGGATCTAGCAAGTGTTAAAATAATAGCCAGGCTAGCCTTGGGGTGAGGTGTAAGGAGAACAAAGGAAGGGGCTCTGTGATAAATGGCAAATGGGTGGGGCCCCTGGAATCTTGCACCATTTGGAGATTGGGGTGGCATGCAACAGTATCAATAATTAACACTCCTTCCCTTTTGTGGCAATGGTGACACCCAGGCTAAGGGTGGCAACCTAGGAAACAAAATATCAAAGGTTAAACACAAAAGCCTAGGTAAGAAAGGGCATTGAAGGTGCAACATGTAATTGCCTGAGGAATCACCCTCCCTGGGAGCAAGTACCGTACTTACCTCTGAACCTGCATACATAGAGTCTAGTTAGATTACGTGCCATAAAGGGAAAGTTGGACTCATGAGAGAGGGTAACTCAGTGACTCGCTGGTAAGCCAATAAGGGATACAACTTTAGAATGTTTCTATTGGACAAGATTGCAGGGTGTCCCAATCCACTTGTAAAAGCAATGGGCAATACAGTGGAACCTCGGTTATCAAACGTAATCCATTCCAGAAGACTGTTCGACTTCTGAAACGTTTGACAACCAAGGTGCAATGGGCAGTCGGCAAATTCCATTGAGAAAATGGAGAAATGCACCTTGGAAGCTGTTAAACTTCAGAGGCGCATTCGAAAACAGAAGAATTCACTTCCGGGTTTTTGGCATTCAGGTTCTGAATCGTTCGGCTTCCGAGACGCTCAAAAACCAAGGTTCCACTATACTGTGAAAAAAACTTAATATTTGTCACTGTCACCATCACTGCCTCAGAGTGGGCACAACATTGAGTTTTTACTTGTGTTGATGAGTGATATTTCCAAACATAAAGCTATCCCCCAGCCACAGACCCACTAACAGTTTATTCACCTCATCACATACACACATGCCAAAAAAACTCCCAAGCATACAGCAGAACAAGCAATTACACACCTCTGCACAATATGTCCTGTAGTCGTAGGTGAGTCAATGGTGAGTCATGGCCATAGGTGAGTCAATGGCCTCTATTCGGAATTAAGGAAGTCCACACACCCAGACCCAGAACACATCCTGGATATGCCTACAATGGAATTTACAATCAGTATGGGGGAATGGTCGTTCTGGGTGCTTTAAAAAAATTCACTGGGATTTGGATACAAGTTCTACTCACAAACACAAATGTGGAAGACTGGTTTAATGCCCACTCCCCGCTTTGTTTCCTAAGATGTGGCTATCAAAAGTCTAGCACAGGCATAGGCAAACTCGGCCCTCCAGGTGTTTTGGGACTACAACTCCCATCATCCCTGACCACTGGTCCTGTTGGCTAGGGATGATGGGAGTTGTAGTCCCAAAGCATCTGGAGGCCCGAGTTTGCCTATGCCTGGTCTAGCAGTTGTGCTGCCACAATGTGGGGAGGGAATAGGCTGGTAAAGTCCCTGAAAATACAATAGTCAGTTAATTATATTTCAAGTCATATCAATCCACTGATTGCAAGCCTCTCTAACCAGCAATCTCCTTAGCATAGCTGGGGTAGTGGTCAATTATGACAATAGAGGAGGGGGAGTTTGTACATTGTATAGCGGCACCATTGAGGAAACCCATCCTTAGGAACCACACATCAGAACAAATCACCACCTCTGTTGTGAGGTCTTGACTGTGCTTTAATCACCATTGCCTTGGCCAACAGTGTTGTCTGGCTTGTTCCTTGTATTCACCTGCAATGCTTCTGGCTGCAACCTAGAAAGTAGAATCCCAAAGAGGATCCACATTGCATGTAATTGTACACCTTTTTCCCTCTGTGTCCTCTGTGTGCTGCAAGAATTGTCACAATTGTTTCCGCACTGCCAGATGGGGATAAGCATGTGTGTAATGTTCAGCACACCAAAATAATTGCTAGAGAAGCCAAATCTATATGGTCACATTCTGTTAATTCTGTCCTGGATTTGCTAAGGTGCTGATTTAACATTAATAAACCGTCAGGCACATTTCAATATCATATTTTTAACTCTCATTTTACAGCCCAAATTTAGCCCTCAAATTTCAACAGCAAATTCCATATCTGAAATAGTAGTGTGCTATGTACCGGTAATCTTCCACAACAAATTAAAACATACAATTTAATAATGTTACATCTTCGGATTTAATTTTTTTCCTGCAAGATGCCTGTCATTCCCCACACTACAATCTTAAAAACCCATCCCTACAACTTTAAGTTGTAACAAGGGCATGATTTCTACATTGGGTTGCATCCAGTGCTGCTCAAATGGAAGTTTCACCTGCCCTGTGGAACTTCCACCTCCGGAGCAGATTTTGTAAGTGTGCATGGAGTTGTAGGCAGTGCTTTGTTCTAGGAAAAAAGGTGCCAGTCTCCAACCCAGATGTTGATGCCACCATCTTGAAACTGAAATCACATGACAAGATGCTCCACCCACCCACTCAGGCCGCTTCAGTCACCATTGTGCACACCTTGCTGCTCTCCTGCCCTGCTCAGGCTGCTTCAGCTGCCATCCTGCACACCTCGCTGATCAGGGGACTTCCTTTGCTGGGTGAGCAGAATTCTTAGACAAAGCAAGGCAAAAAAACGGTGCTGGAACTGCGCTCCAGCACGTTCTGGCAGAAAAAAGCTCCGGTCATAGGGAAGAGGAGGAGGGAAGTTCTATTGCATGAGTGACAGACTGCTGCATTAGTGGAATTGGCAGCAATGGATACAACCATTGCGCTTAAAAATAAGAAAAACACAGCATGTGCAGAATTCAGAAGTAAAACCCTTGTTCGTCTTTAAAAGCCTTATAACTCATTCCCTTATTTTAATTTAAGCTTTAAAGTAATGAGTAAGTCTACCCCCTTGGCTAAGATTTATTTTATATTTTATGTGAAGTTTTAGACCGGGTTAACGATCTGGAAAAGGAATACAGTAGTACCTCTGATTACGTACTTAATTTGTTCCAGAGGTCCATTCTTAACCTGAAACTGTTCTTAACCTGAAGCACCACTTTAGCTAAAGGGGCCTCCTGCTTCTGCTACCGCACCGCCGCCGCACGATTTCTGTTCTCATCCTGAAACAAAGTTCTTAACCTGAAGCACTATTTCTGGGTTAGCGGAGTCTGTAACTTGAAGTGTCTGTAACCCGAGGTACCACTGTACAGACAGGAGTGTCCTGGGAGGGCTGAGTCTGAGCCGGGATAGGGAGATCCTGGGGGGATGACAGCCTCCCTGGGTGTCCGTCTAGCCAGGAGGGGAGAGTTCTTCTAGGTCCAGAAGACTCCCAGCCCAGTCCCAGGGGGTGAGGGGACCCTCATTTAGAAGACCTCCGGGGTGGGATGGCTAAGAGAATGGGCAACTGAGGAGAAGCTGTCTTGAAAGTATTCAACGGTAATATCTCAGTGACAGAAACTGAGTTGAGCATTTTACTCTCTGTTCTAGAAACCTGAACATCTACCACCTGAAGCGTAACAACTGATTTTTAGTAACTGAAGTTCAAGAAGAGCTGCACCTATAGTGTTGTGTTTAAGCCTGAGTTAGTTAAAGTGAGCAAGTTAACTTCTATCTGAAAGAATGCATTTCCTGACCCACTTTGTTTCATAAACCATTTTTGTTTAATAAAACTTGTATTGTTTATTTTCTGCTTGAGACTCCAATCATTAAGTTTTCCCTCACACAAGTCCCCCACGAGATGATCTGTGGTAAATTGTGGGTGCACTATCTTTAATGGGGGGCAGTTAGCAGGAGTGGATCTGCCACCTTATTAATGGGTGGTATTAAGTGGTAGGTCTGTTACAACATCTAATAAATTTAATAAGTAATAGTAATAATATCATAGAGCAGATTTTGGTCTTTATCAGCCCCATGCCAGGGTGTTTAATTAAGCTTTTTACTATTCTTTGCCATATTGCCCTGAAAAGTCCACCACTTCATAGCAAATTATGGATGCTCAGCTGACAATCTGATGCCCTCTACTGTTGTAATTACAGAGCTATCCATCTGTAATTTCTGAAAGTTCACAGAAGTTTCAGAGCACTGCACAAATTCCTGTTGTCATCCTATTCTAAAATTCTGTAATATGCATTCTGGCCCTGTGCATATGTATATCTAAGTAAGTTCACAGAGAATTTCAATATTTATTATTTATTTATTTATTTATTTATTTATTTATTTATTTATTTATTTATATTACATGAAGGAAGGAAGGATGATATTGTCACATATTTGCAGTATTTCTAGTTAATAATGGATAAGAGTCAGGGACTGGTGGGATGCAGAGAAATGGTGGGAGGAACCAGCTGGGGAACCAGCAAGGAAATAAGGCACAGAGCTTGGGGACTGGAGAGATGTCCAGAATCTGAAGCTGAAGCAGGAGAGTGGGATGCGGGAGGCCAAGAAGCAGAGATGAGTCCAGCTGGTGAAGTCACAGTTGTCTCCCTCTCCTGCTGCGACCAGCTTCCCTCCCCACTAGTGTCCCAGAACCAGAAAAGGTATGAAGAGGGCAGAGGAGAAATTAGCATCACAGGCACAATGTCAGATTGCTGGGGGGGGGGACCCTGGAGAGGAGGGGACTTAGGCAGCTGTGAGAAGGTAGGGACCTTCAGTCGCCACAACTGCTTCATAGGGGCAAGACTTACCAAAGAAGAGTTGCTGTGCTCATTAGTTCTGACACTCCTATGTAGATCCTGTTCTTTCTAGTAAAGCGCTAAGTCCACTTACTTCGTGTGTGATCTACTGCGTCAATAAGCTTGAACTCTTCTTGGATAATTTCAGAATCAACTTGGTATTAGCAAGCTTTATTGGTGAGTGTTCAGAAAAGCACATCTGTTTTCTCATAACTCTTTCCAACATGTTGGTGTATATGTGCTGATGGTGTTGTGTGCATATGACCTGAACTCACTGTACATAAACAGCCATGGCAGAGAAGCACAGCTTTCCACCTTAAACCTTTGTGCATCACTGTTTCTTATAAACCTTCTGGTGAAACCCTAAAGCTGCCCATCATTAGCATTAGAGCATTAAATGTTACTGCCATTTTAAACATCTTGTGTTTGTGTGCCAGACCAGACCTGTAGGTTCAGCTCCATGCCTCACACCTGACCCATATCCATGCGCCCTGCAATCAGGGTTAGGTGTGGTGCTAGCAATTTGGAAGTGACCTAGATTGCTTTCGGTAAAGCAGAGCTGTATTGAGCTCTCTTGTTTAATGAGGAATTGTTAATTCTGCTACCGTTCTCCATCTCCAGCAGAAGCCAGAGCAAGCATGTTTAGGACTGGCTACTAGAAGAAACGTTCTGTTGTTACTGTTTTAAATTCAATGAGAAAATAAAAATTTAATAGTAACAAAAAAGTCACAAAAGACTACAGATATGGATACAAAGGGGCAGTAAACTGACTGACACAGTTGCTTCCATATGGTTCAGTTTTATTTCTCATGCATTCCAAAAAGAACAAGGATGCAGACTACCTGCGTCCCATTGAAATCTATGGAAAGACACTTTTATTTAAACAGTGTGACTGCCAAATTTAACCTTTTCTAGTATAGTCAGCACTATAATTGTCTCCAACTCAGTGTACTGTTGAGGATGGAGGGAGTTCTGTTTTTCATTGTTATAGCTGAAAAATTAAATAAACAGCTTTTTTTAAAAGGAAGAAAATCCTCAAATCTCCTCAGGAATCTCCTCAGGCAGGAATTTATTCAAAGCTCCATGACTTTAACAAGTTCCTTGACTCCAGCTTTTCATAGCCTAGCTCAGAGTAAGTCAGTAATCTTGTGTAATAATTCAGAAGTAAACCCCACTTAACTCAGTTAGCATTCTTTCAAACATGATGCTACACATCTCCCTCCTTTCCCCATAATTTACTAGAATCCTCTTTATCATTGTTTGCAGTTACAGTGATTTGGGGGTAGAATATAAGTACTTTAACTGCATAAATAACACTAGGAGTGAACTCCTAATGATCAAAAGCTGTTTGACAATGGCGTAGGCTGCCTTGGGACTTGGTGAGGTATTTTGAGCTGAGGCCAGGAAGCCGTGTGTCGGGGATGCTGTAACTGCATACAGCATTGAGCAAGGGGCTAGACCAGATGACCTCCAAGATCCCTTCCCCCTGTATGATTCTACCTACTTGAACTGTGTGAACTCCAACAGGTAGAGTATGTCTCAATGCCAGAATTATGTGGGCAGGCTCAACTGCATGGCTTTTCCCCACCTGACTTTTGCCTGTTATGAGGACACACACCATGTGAATCTGGTGCTTATACAGTAGTACCTCTGGTTATGAACTTAATTCGTTTGGGAGGTCCATTCTTAACCTGAAACTGTTATTAACCCGTTATTAGGTCACTTCCAAATTGCTAGCACCACACCTAACCCTGATTGCAGGGCGCATGGAGGCTAATGGAGCCTCCCACTGCCACTGCCGCGTGATTTCTGTTCTCATCCTGGGGCAAAGTTCTTAACCTGAGGTACTACTTCCTGGTTAGCGGAGTCTGTAACCTGAAGTGTTTGTAACCCGAGGTACCACTGTACTTATAACTGCAGCAGCAGCAGCAGCATAGGATTGCACCACAGAGAAATAGCTCTCACACCACCTAAAGAGCCAATATATATTTCACACAAGCTGACTGATAATATTCACACCCCAACAGAGGAAGGAAATCAGTGAGTTACGTTTCTCTTAATATCCCTTGAGACAGGAGCTTGAACACAGCACACAGTGCATAGCTAAACTGTCAAGTCCATGCCCACAAAATGTAGTGATGGCCATCAATCTGGATGGCTTTAAAAGAGGATTGGACAAATCCATGAAGAAAAAATCTGTAACTGAGTACTAGCCATGAGAGCTATTTTCTATCCGGCTGTCAGAGGCAGCATGACCCTGGATACCAACTGCTGAAAATCACTCAAGTCCTGTTTGCGAGCCTCCCATGGGCATTTGGTTGGCCACAATGAGAACAGGATGCTGGACTAGACAGGCCTTTGGTCTGATCCAGCAGGACTCCTCTTATGCTCCAAATTTTGTCTCTGTGAGACTGGTGGGTCAAAATTTCACACATATAAACTATTTATAAAGCAACATCACCACTTTTATGTAATGCCACTACGGTTTGAGTGTGTGGGGGATCAAACACTAGGTACTTACAAATAGTAAAATTTTAGTTTGACAGTGGAACAGGCTCCAACGAGAGGTGGTGGACTCTCCTTCCTGGCAAGTTTTCAAGCATAGGTGTCGTGTATGATCTTGTTGAAATTATTGCATTGCAGGGGGTTGAACTAGATGATCCCTTCCAACTCTGCCATTCTGTGATTCTATTCTTTCCTCTGTATGGGAAGCAAAATTGAAATGTTTATTTTGAGCAATATATTTTGTTTGAATATCCACAGAATGGTTTAAAAAATAACAAAAATGTAACCATGTAAATATATTGTAAAGAATGCACATTTTAGGTAGGTTTGTCTTATGACAAAGTTTAAAGCTTGCAAATAGTCCAAGAGTTCATGCAGAGCTGCTACATTTAAAAAAATTGCAATTTAAAATCATACAAGTAACTGTAGGGGCACTTCAGAGGTGGCCTCTAGTAAATAAGTCTGAAATTGTTTTTAGTTTGTAGCAATTGCCTTCCTGTGCATAATATTTAGCCCAATTATTTTACACAGGTCTAACCTCAAATCAGGTTTCATCAGATTGGGATTAGTGTGCACCCCACCTCTAATTTACATAAGAATGCTTACTTTGCATTGATGGGACAAATACAAATTTAAAATAAATTTTAATTTTGGGATTATGTTGATTACTTGTCCAAAATAATTACAGTTGGGGAAATGGTAAGTCTGTGGTATTTTTAGGTTATGGGATACTAAAATTAAATTGTCAGGATCACAATTTAAGGTCCAATTTAAAAAACCAAAACAAAACTACCCATAAATTTCATTTCAGATCCATCAGGTTATATTATAAATACAGTACAGTACTCTGATACTTAAAGGGCAGGCAACCCAACCCCTTTTCAGCTTCTGTAATACTGCAGGGTGCAAAGTAAATTTATATCTACAGTAAAATAAAATGCAATATTGCTGGATCTGGGAGGTTCTAAGGGAAGGGCTGAAAGCCGTGCAACCATGTAGACAGCTTTGCTTATTAGACAGAGCAGCCACATTCCTAGGCTGGGTATTTTTCTGGAGTGGGGGAGGCACATGGTGCCAACCAGTTCCCACCCTCCACTCCCTAGGGCCAGGACAGGCCAGAAGAAGGGAAGGACAGTAACCCTTTATTCACACTCTCCCATGCAAAGAGTGTGTTAACTTAACCTAGCCCATGATGTACGTTGAACAGAATATTATTTTTTTAGCCCGTTTGAGGCTTTTAATTTTGTTAGTTCTTTTAGATTTGTTCCTGACCTTTAGGATTTTCCTTCTGGTTGGACAGTCAATGGAAAATCAGTTAACTAGTTGCTATATAAAGGACTAACTAAGTGATTGGAAACTAATTGTGGAAAACAGTTGGATTTCCCCCCTGGTTGCTGGGGCTGGATTTTCTGTCCAGAAACCATGAAATCCACGAAAAAGGGCCTGCTACTGAGTCTGTACACTTTGGGAACCTCAGAAATTAGCTCTGAGTTGTAGCCGGGGGGGGGGGGGGCGGCCAGCCAGGTAACTGTAAGTGGGCACTGCATTGTTTCTGTTCTTCTAGGGCTGTGTCATCCTTTGCCATAAAGTACTAAAAAAAGAGGGGAAATAGTCACTATGAGAGTAAAGGATATATATGTTTTTTCATATTACTTTAAATTATCCCTTCAAATCACCCTTTGGCAATAAACATCCAATCCTGCTATACTCATCATAATAACTGCAAAATGAGCAAACCCTTACTTCCTACTGCAGGCAAACAAACATGTTTCCTTATCACTGGCTTGGAAGAAAGCACAACTGAAAATGGTGAGCAAATGAAAGTCCAAAGGGTGGTGTCCAACTCTAGTCCATAATACAAAGTTGTAATATTTAACCCTTTAAGGGTCACATGCACAGGCTGTTTTTTTTCATGATATCTTTGCTCATTTAATTCAGTTTTTCCCAATCCATGGCTAATGTGGTCAGGGGAAAAATATATATAATTGCATGCCACCCAATTACAGGTGTACGGAACTGCATTGTATCAAAGTGTGCATGTGTTTTTCAACTGTGTGGTGATATTTTGCTGGGAGCAATTCCAGCACAGTCCACTTCTTAGTGGGCTGCTGGTGGGGCTGGCATGACGCACACATGAAAATTAGCCGCATACATGTCAAGACATACCAAAGTGCGTGCCCACAGTGGAGCTCAGGTTTATGGAACTCAGAGAGGGTGGCTGCTGATAAGGCAGGCATCTCACACACACCCCCCACCCCCATCAATTTTTTGCCCACTGTTTTGTGCAAATCTGGTCCGTGGGAATACTTGTATCGCAAAAATAAAAAATTTGGCCACAGGCACAACTAAACAAATACCTGTGTGCATGCTCACAATGGATCTCAAGTTTCTGAATTTTTTGGGGGGGTGGAAAGGTAGTAACTGAGGGGAGGGGACAACACACAACAAACAACGTGAATACATCCCACCAAGCAGTGCCTGCTAGCGTGAACAGAAAACATTGATACAGAGTTCATCTAAAAGTGCTCATGTATGTGCACAAAAACACAGAAAAATCAGATATGTGCACCCACTAGCTCATGAACATGCTGGTGGGTTCTTTGCTGTTGCTGTCATGCATCTCTCTCTTGGGGTAAAGTCAAACCACTCTGAAGTGATCTGCCCGGGGTGCAAGCCTGGGCAATGTGTATGGGGTTCCTGGGCTGCCCAAACAAGACCCCCGCTCTTGACCTCGCTGATGTGGTCCAAAGGAAAGCAGAGGAATACTTGGGCACCAGCTTAACTGCAGGAGTTGCCAAAAGGAGGCATACAAGGCACCATCCAACCATCTTAAGGACTCCACTCTGGATTTGTGTAGGGTTACTCCTGAGCCCTTTCCTCTCCCAAAGATGTCCTGCAAGGCAGTGGAGATTTTGGATTAGTGTTCTCACTCTCTTAAATGGGCTACTTTCCCGGGTTGGCGAGCCCTATGTACCCCTCACTTCCCTCTGCAGCATATGCAGAAACCACATTCTTGACTGTTGGACCACTTGGTCTTGTCTGCTCAATCCACTGGAGCCAGTCTTTGCATACTGTCCCTAACTCACCAAGGGTTCGAGACTTATCAGCCCCCCTCGCCTAGTTTAGCCAGCCAGTCAAAGCCATTCCCAGGGTGTGGCTGCTGTCGTATGTTGACAGCTTCTAGGAGCCACAGGTGAGAGCTGAGTGCAGGGTGGGGACCAAAGGTGGACAAACTACCCCAGAAGCATGACCCCCAGCAGAGGTACTAGCCTCTCGCCTAACACCCCATTCAAAGCCTTTATCTTCTATCTGCTCCTAGCAGCCATGGCAAATCAGCTTACTCTGATAAATAGCAGTTTCTGAGATTGCCTGTCACTCATAAGTGATTCTGATTTGGGCGATGGCATCCTGTTGTCTTAAGCTGCATGGTGGGAGTAGAAAGAAACCATGTCCTCTCAACAGCTTGTTTTACAGGAACAAATTCTGTTTAATCTGGATGAAGCAATATAAGAAAAACCTGTTTAAAATGAGCAGTGAGTAGTGAGACAAACTATTTCCCCCCATCCCCATGTGCTTAAAATATTGGTCTCTTTGGGTCAGAGATTGTGATGAAGGTTGTCAGTCTGTTAAGAACCTGCTTAAATTCACAGAATTTTCATGTAATTTAAGAGGCAGCTTTTACAGAATCAATGTTTTATAGTCAAAGAGCCCATCCCAATATATTTGCTTCTTGAGGAACTGAGGTCTTGGCTATTTAAACATTTTACAAAAAAGTTGTGGCATCTCCAACTGCCAGTCTAAGGAATGACTGGTGGGTCTTTTAAAGGGCACCAGTAAAGTGGTACTGGGCACTGTGTGGTGAAAAGTAATGTTAATCCATAATTGCTATACAATTAAAAGATGTATATGTAATAATTACAAATGATATAATTGAATTGTAATTTCTTACGCTAATATTTTGAATCCGGTGTAGTGGAGACTGGAGCTTAAGTAAAAAAAATAACATTTAATTTATTCTATTTAGTGGAAAAAATCCTAAACCCCTATTTCTGTTCCAATAATTCATAGCTTATGACTACCAATTCATTTTTTTTATTGATTTGCCATAACACAGCAAAAGAAACCAAATTACTGTCATGTCAGATTATACTCACAGTTCTGAGAATAAATGCAGCCAAACAAGGGAAGTATTTACAAGCATACCAGGAGAGAGAGAAATCCTAAACTCGAAAGATTTGCTGGCTGAGCAGCATTTGCATAGAGGAAGCGTAACCCTGCTAAGGGGGCTGGGTGCTTCTACACCAGCAGAAGCCCCCTGGAATGCCAGCAGAAGGTCCTACTGGCAGGAATGCTTCACCAGGCAAGTTATGTGCTATCTTTGTTGCTTATTGTTTGCTTTTTTGTTGTTAAATATTAATATGATTGTTTTAACAATCTGCCTTGAGTGCTGTATATGGCTGGATATAATTATTGTTAAATATATATGTGTGAAATAGGCTATAGTTTATTAGGAAATGTTTAGTGAGAGCATTGCATTTGCTGAAAGGCAGAGGGGTTGTGTCATGAACCAAGTTTTTCCTACACAAAATAAATCTCCATGGAAAGTGATTTGCAATAGGATTTAGAAAGAAGCTAGTACATTTGGCTGTTGCCAAAGATGATTTCCTTAGGCTGTTGTCCACACTGGTGTAGGAAAATCAAACCATGTTAATTAATCAGGCTGTTCAGTTTTCTTTGAAGACCATGCAGGGCTGTTTTGCTGGATGTTGTAGCTATTGGGAAGTCTTTGCCTTGTCTCATCTTCACATCCCAAGGTACACAGTGGTTTGCATGTCCCCCAACCACCAGGAAAATGTCATGCTTGAAAAGCAGCCTTGGGATTGTGGCAGGGCAGCGCCACCCACGACTTGCAGACTGGATCTGCTGCCCCCTTGGCATTCCCCGTAAATTCTGCCTCTTGGTGACAAGGAGGTGCCCTCCTTCACCTGGCAGATCTTCACTCCCCTTTTCTTCCCTGGCAGGTGGGGTTGTGGTGCCATTTTGTTGTTCTGAGGCACCAAAATGTTTTGGGCGGGCCCAGGATTGTGGTCTGTCACCAGGAAAACATCCTCTGCTCTTTTCAATGTGCTTTTGGGGTGCAGGGCGTTATTGTTCTGTTACTTTATGCCACAAGGTGCCATAGGAAGGCACTGGACATAGTAAAAGATCCATCGCATCCTGGTCACTGTCTCTTCGAGCTCCTGCCGTCGGGACGGAGATACAGGACGATGAAGACAAGAACGAGCTGTCTTAAGAACAGCTGCTTCTCCAGAGCGATCTCGGCCCTGAATGGGAAGCCTGGACTTTGAAAGTCATCTAATCTTCCTTGCTGTATTATACTGTATTGTTTTAATTAGTGTTTTTATAGTTGTTTTGATTTTGTGTGGAGTGCCCTACCTGGGTGGATGGAGCAGCCAAGTAATTTCATTGTCCCCGAGAGGGGGCAATGACAATAAAGATATTATTATTATTATTATTATTATTATTATTAATCTTCTGTTTTTATGCTGTGAACCGCCCTGAGATCTATGGATGAAGGGTGGTTATACAAATGAAATAAATAATAATAGTAAAGCTGGTTTGGCTTAAATAAAAAGCGGGCGGCACAAACACCTGCACTTCACACATTACAAACGTTATCCAACCGGGGCTTTTTCTTTTCAAAAATATTAAAAATTCCTGGGGAGGGGGGGGGGACTGGCCAGTCCGAGGCGGCCTCTCCAGGTGAGACCCAGAGGCCACATTTGGGTGGCTCAGCTTAACTGGCCGCGCTGAGGGGACGCTGGGCTTCGGCCCGCGAAAGGCTCCGAGGGCCGGAGCCCCTCATTCGCAGCGCGGGCGGGGCCTGGGAAATGTCTCTGCGCGAGGGAGGGAGAGGGAGAGCCCATCGAAGGAGAACAGGGGGGGGCGGACGAGTCGGCCTTGCCTGTCCCAGCGCCCCCCCCCCGTTCGGGGCCCGTCGGTCGCGCCCTTTTTGCGGGCGGGGCGGGGCTGGTGCCTGGGCGCGCGCCTGCGCACTTGTCCCGCCTGGCCGACGCTCCATCTCCTCCCCCTCCGCCCCCCTCCCTCCTGGCAAAACAGAACCGCCAACGTCATCGGCGGCGCCGCCGTCCCTTTGGCGGAGAGGGAAGCGGCCCGAGGGGGGAGGCGGGGGCTCCGCTGCTGCTGCTGCCGCTGCCAACCGCCACCCTGAGGGAGCCGGAGGCGGCCGGTAAGACGCGGGCCGGGGCCGGGGCTGCTCCTCCTCCTCGGCCGGGGGCGCTGTCCCTCAGGGCCGCCGCGTGTCGCCCCAGGGAGGCGACGCCGAGAGTTGACTTGGGAGGTGTTTGGGCTCTTTCGGGACGGGTCCCCTTTGCTCCCCTCAGAGGCTCGCCCACCCCCGCCGGGAAACCGGCTCGGCGGAGGGCAGGGCTGCCTTTCTGGGACGGGAGGAGGAGGGGCAGCAACAAGAACAAACTTCCCATTGGGGTTAATTCCGGGGCCCTCCTCCCCCCCCAAAAAGAATCCTCTCGGGGTTTTGCAGCCGCCGCCGGGTTCTTGCCGGTGCCGGGGATGCCACGGAAAAGAGCCCCGCCGACTTGGGGGACTCCCCGCTCTGCCTCCATCCCGACTCGGGCGTGTGGAGTGAAGGGCGGGCTAGAAATGCAATAAATAGGCGCAGCGAGGAGACCTGGCCGCCGCGGGTGCCTCTTGGCAGCAGGGCTGCTTTGGACCGGAGCCGGCGATGCCGCCGCCCGTTGCGGTGCCTCTGCTTTGCAGCAGCCCCTGGACGCGCCCGCTTTCCGAAAGGGGCGATGCTGTTGAGATAAAGTTGCTGGCTGCTCCGGATGAGCTCGGAGGGGCTGCTGCTCTGCGCGGTGGGAGGAGGAGGAGGTTGTCGATCAGCATTTTCCTTTCCTTTTCGAAAGCTGCGGGTGTTTGGTATAGAATGTTCTTGTTAGACAAGGATCGATAGTAGGTGAATTTTCACCCGGCAGAGGCGAAGAATAATGGCTTGCGGTTTAATGGAAAGCTCTCCTAACAGACATCTGGATAGATCTCACCGAATTAGCGCTGTGGAAAACTTCAGGTCCAAAGATGAGTTGGGAGAGCAAAGGCGCAGGGCTTGTCAAGTTTTCTATTCGTTTCTCTCTGGCACCGAAACTGATGAAGACTGCAAAGTGTTTGTCACACTTCAGCTTTCGAAGGGGCTTTACTGGCCAATGTTTCATAAACTGGCTGCTTTCAGGGGAAGCTAGAAGTGCTTGTGAATTACAGTACAACTAAATTGGGTAGAGAATCAGAAGAAAATCGTTGTTAGAATTTAGTTTTTGTTTATTCGCATCCCAAAGGAATTTTGTGCAGGGAATTTAATTTATTGACAAGCTGTGGAATTCTTTTGTGAAGTGAAGCTAAATTCTGGTTTTTTTTAAAAGATGCACTTCCAGCCCTCTTGACAAAGTTTCTTATTGTCACATATCTTATGAAAGGTATGCGTATGAGAGCCTGAAAAAAGTATTTGATTTTGCGGGAACATTTTGTTTATTCTTAGTAGCTTCAGTAGGCTCCTGAAATTATTAAACCTGGAATTCTATTAGGGAGAAGTTATGTTGAAATTGGAAGAGGCAAACATGATTAAAATATTGTACTGCAAGCCTGAGTATGTTATAATGAGGATGACCTATAGGTCCACTTTGCCCACTACCTATAGCTCTTATGGGAATACGTGGGAAATGCTTCAAGATAACACTTGGAAGTGTGACAAACAAGTATTGTAACGAAGTTGACACATGTGGTGGCTCCTTGCTTCAACAACCTCTCACGGGCAATTAATTTTTATTGCTTTTCAAATAAATTAACACATTAACATCAAATTAATACAAATTTAAAAGTTGACTTCCCACCCTGCATCCATGATGTTTTTCTGCCCTCCCTTACTCGCTGCTCAATGTAACATGCATTTCCTAATTCCATTTCAGTACCTAAAATATATTAACATTTATCATTAATTTGTTCCTCTTCTTCATTTCTCATCGATTGTACATATTTTAATAGACTCGTATTTAACTATAACATATTTCCAAAATGTCAAGTAGAGTTACTTTTCATTGTGAGCCCACAAAATCAACAATCTCTCCTGGGGTGCACTGAGTCCTCATATTGTTGACTTTTCATTGGCAGCAGAAGACACACCTCTTTTCTCAGGCTTTTGGAAAGGGTTGGCATTTTAAACCACTCAGATATGTTTTATGTAACTCTGCCCTGGGACCAGATGGTTACAGGTTGAGTATAAAGGGTTGCATATATAAGTAATATATTAACATACCTTGGCAGAAAAAGGGCAAGCAGACAATAAAGGGATGGTACAAAGACTTTATGGAAAAACATTGTTAAAACCATTAACCATGAAAAGAAGCTCTTTAAATATATTATTAAAAGGAGAAAGTAGAGAAAAGGTTTTTCCCCCCTCATAATGCTAGAACTCGTGGACATCCAATGAATCTGAATGTTGGAAGATTCAGGACAGATAAGAGAAAGTACCGTATTTTTCGGACTATTGGACGCACCGGTCCATAGGACGCACCTAGATTTGGGGGGGGGGAAATAAAGGCAAAAAAAAATTATTCCCCCCGCCAGGCGCGGGGCTGGGGCGGGGAAGCCCGAGCTTCCCCCTCCCCCAGAACGGGACCCAGAGCCATGCCGAAGCTGCGCGCAGCTTCGGCATCGCTCTGGGAGCTTGCGGGGGTGGGGGAGGAGGAAGCCTTCCGCCAGCCTCCAAACCATGTCGGGAGACAGCGGGATGGCGCGCTGCGCCTCTCCCGCTGTCCCCCGAGTTTGCGGGGCTGGGCCAGCCTTCTAACCAAGTCGGGGACAGCGGGAAGGGCGCGCTGCGCCCCTGCCACTGTCTCCCGAGTTTGCGGGGCTGGCGACGGGGAGGAGCAGGCTTCTCCCCCCGCCAGCCTTCTAGACAAGTCGGGGGACAGCGGCAAAGGCGCGCTGCGCCTCTCCCGCTGTCCCCCGAGTTTGCGGGGCTGGCGACGGGGAGGAGCAGGCTTCTCCCCCCGCCAGCCTTCTAGACAAGTCGGGGGACAGCGGCAAAGGCGCGCTGCGCCTCTCCCGCTGTCCCCCGAGTTTGCGGGGCTGGCGACGGGGAGGAGCAGGCTTCTCCCCCCGCCAGCCTTCTAGCCAAGTCGGGGGTCAGCGGGAAAGGCGCGCTGCGCCTCTCCCGCTGTCCCCCAAGTTTGTGGGGCTGGCGACGGGGAGGAGCAGGCTTCTCCCCCCGCCAGCCTTCTAGACAAGTCGGGGGACAGCGGCAAAGGCGCGCTGCGCCTCTCCCGCTGTCCCCCGAGTTTGCGGGGCTGGCGACGGGGAGGAGCAGGCTTCTCCCCCCGCCAGCCTTCTAGCCAAGTCGGGGGACAGCGGGAAGGGCGCGCTGCGCCTCTCCCGCTGTCCCCCGAGCTTGTGGGGCTGGCGGTGGGGCTCTCCTGAAGCCTGGAGGTTGTGGGGCTGGTGGGGGGGGGGAGAAGCAGGCTTGCTTCTCCCACCCCCAGCCTCCAGATCAGGTCGGGGAATAGCGGGATGGCGGAGCGCCGCCATCCCGCTATTTCCCGACCTGATCTGGAGGTTGTGGGGCTGGGGGGGGGAGAAGCAGGCTTGCTTCTCTAGCCCCCAGCCTCCAGTTCAGGTCGGGGAATAGCGGGATGGCGGAGCGCCGCCATCCCGCTATTCCACGACCTGATCTGGAGGTTGTGGGGCTGGGGGGGGGGAGAAGCAGGCTTGCTTCTCCCACCCCCAGCCTCCAGATCAGGTCGGGGAATAGCGGGATGGCGGAGCGCCGCCATCCCGCTATTCCCCGACCTGATCTGGAGGTTGTGGGGCTGGGGGGGGGGAGAAGCAGGCTTGCTTCTCCCACCCCCAGCCTCCAGATCAGGTCGGGGAATAGCGGGATGGCGGAGCGCTGCCATCCGCTGTTCCCCGACCTGATCTGGAGGTTGTGGGGCTGGGGGGGGGGGAGAAGCAGGCTTGCTTCTCCCACCCCCAGCCTCCAGATCAGGTCGGGGAATAGCGGGATGGCGGCGCTTCGCCATCCCCCTATCCCCCGAGCTTGTGGGGCTGGGGGGGGGAGAAGCAGGCTTGCTTCTCCCCCCGCCAGCCTCCAGATCAGGTCGGGGAATAGCGGGGTGGCGGCTCTGCGCCTCCCCGCTGTCCCCAGCTTTTGGGTGCAGGCT